TATGTAGGCTAACTATATGCTAAAGTCTCTCTAGTTTCGTCAGTTGCAAAATGTGTGCGAAGCTCTCAATGCAGACAAAATTTTGAATATAATTTAAATGCCGGTAATACTTGTGTTTAAAGTTCTTTAATGAAATGAATACAAAAAAAAAAAAAAAAAAAATAAAATAAAATTAGAAATTTATATAAACTCAATATCTCTCCAAAATGTATCTACTTATTTATATATTTTCACTGTTTCTATAAATATGCTAACCCTTTGACGTGTTTACAGGGTATACATATTGTATCTGTATCTGCGCAAAAGTTCTGTGTGAAATACGCTTGCGCGACGGCAAACGCTCGACTTACCCCTCTCTCAAGTTCTACACGAACGAACGAACGAACGCGTTTAATAAATTATCAAGTTGAATGCCCAGTTTCGAAATTTGACCTTGGGTACAAATTTCGGGTCTCGGGGCTCTACTCTATACGTATATACAGTAATTATGTCTGTGTGTATATCTGTTTAAATATCTTGTGATTGTTGACTGCGCTTATGTTTTCTTAGCTTGTATGTAGTTTCTTTGAGCTTTGATGCGTTACGACTGTCGCCCAGCCACAGTCTGTTGCCCATGACTGGGAAGTGAAACTCTAGAGCAAGTGCGTAAGTCTTGGGCTTCGGTTAATTAGCGCATCCATACAAATTAACTAACGCACATGCGTAACTTATAGATAAATAGATGGAGATACAGATACATAAATTCAAGCGAATTTCGTTGCGTTGTGATTTTCGTTCATTTCGGAAATGATTAATGTGTTGGTCGTTTCTTTTTTTCTTCTATATGTATATATAATTTTGTTTCTTTTTTTACTCTTTGGCTCTAATGTCTGAAATAAATTGCCCTTGCTCTTGGTAGGCAGCCAATTGCCAACCGGTTTTACCATCAAATTTAATGAGAGTTGAGAAACGGGCAAAGAAACAGACCCAAACAGACATGGAAATACATTATGCAATGCCTACATATATATTATAGAACATCACATAAGCTTCTTACCAAGTTGTTAAACATCTAGAAAATCTCACACAATTGCAAAGTCAGGCTTATATAATTTTTGTGATTTATAATTACATTTCCTTAATTTTAAATTGTGTAAATATTTTTCTTGGAACTATCTGCGATTTTTAATAGTCACTCAGGTGCCACCTTTTAAGGGTATACCCTATATGTTTGGGTATACCTATATATGTTTTGATACGTACATGTATATTCTCGATCATTGCCTATTACTTGCTGTTTCTCCATGTTGCCATACGTATGAGAACATCGTTCTCAGAATCAATTAGAGTTCGATCGTATAGAGCAAGCCCAATTTATTTAGGCTCGTTTCAAGTCATCGATTACTTTTACTATTAGTAACTGTATTATATATAAATAATATATAACATTATAAAAGCAAAAATATAACATTCTTAACCCTTTCAATCTCGGATTCATAAATTGAATTAAAAACAAAAAATCTCTCTTTAAAAAAAAAATTTAATAATTTTATAAAAATTATTATAATTATAAATAATTATATTTATATAATTATTTTATGTATATATTATATTTATGGGATTGGAATAATTACTAGAAATTGTATAGAAATAGATTTAAAAGAATAATTTGTTGTCAATTATAGTTATTGAGGGATTCCGATTTGATTTAGTTATGCTATTAGTGCTTTAAACAGAGATATTAAATTCTTCAATATGAAAATATTTAAAATTGGCAATACATTTGCCTGCTGATTTGTATAAAAAAAGGAAGACCAAAAATTGTATTTGTGATTTTCGTTCATTATGAAATACAAATTTCTGATTCATTTAAATTTCTGTAAAATGTTTTAGATATTGTATTTGCATAAAATTTATTAATCTGATTCTGCTTTTAGTATTTTATTTACATACTAATAGCTAATAGCAGAGCTATGAAAATCGGAACCCCTTAAAATTCTGATTCATCATTTTAAATGACAAAAATTTGTTCGTTTAAACAATTATAATATGAGTATAAAATTCATTCGAATACCCGCCTTAAACTTTGATTACAATCATCATACATTTGATTCTCGTTTCTCAGTTTAAGCAGCTTTAATAAAAATATATTATATTGATTTTAGATTTCTTCTGTTTATTTTTGTTGGCCTCACGCAACGGTCGTAAAACATAAAAGCTAATCAGTTCGCGCTGTTGGATTTTTGAAAATGCATAGTGAATAGTGAATAATATTCACACACATGCCCAGCATCTGTCTGCATAAATATTTATTGATATTTGACATGATCGATCACTCAAACAGATAGAGAGAAGCATTGAGGTGATGGTGATGGTGATGGTGATGGTGAGGGTGAGTGTGGGTTGGGAAAGCGTTAAATGCTTTTGGGCTCGTTGATGAGCCAATTTGTTGAGCTGTTGAAATATGCAAATGAGACATGTCCTGTTGCGGTCTCTTTCGCTGCCGCTGCTGTGTAGCCGATGATGTGGCCTGTCATATTGGGCGTCAATTTGTGGCTAGAAATATGTGGCGTTACGGTTTCGTTGATTTGTATAATAATCATACACATTCAATCAGCTAGCCGAAGGTGGAAAGGTGCAAAGTCGGCTCCCCCAAAACAGACAGTTGTTGCTTTTGGTTTGGTCAGTGCGTTGAGGTCTTTCGTTCTCACCTATTTGGAATTGCGGTGCTTTGCTTTTATCACCACGCACGTAAATGTCAGACATAAGCCCCTCGGTTTTAAAATATCACAAGGAATTTCTGTTCATTTCACTCCCTCTGTGTGTGTGTGTGTGTGTGTGTGTGCGTGTGTATTTGATTGATAAGAAAACGATGCGACAGCTGTTTGGAAAATGCCGGCTAACTGTTTCTAATACTCTTGTTGATATGGGGCATATTTATGTGGGGTATATTTATGTTTCTGTTTAGTTTTTTTAATTGACACGCTAAAAGTGTTTTCTGTTTATAGACTTGGGAAAATTGTTGGGAAGTTTATTTTTATCATTGTAGCCAGAAAATGTGTTTTCAATATATTCAACAAAATGTAGTATATTATATTTATAAATATATATGCTTCTATTTCAGATATTAACATTTCTATTGAAAGGGTATATTGGTTTTGGGCTTACCTACTTCACTTTTTCTTTTTCCTTGTTTGGCCTGTGTACGTCACACAATTTGTTCAATCTAACCCGAAAAGGGGCTGCAGATACAGAATAATCTGAATGCGTAATTAGGGTTGCATTTCTCCGGTTTCCCAGTGCTTGAAGACGTAGCTAAATTGCACTAAACTTCAGAGATTCTGATTCTGGTTCTGGTGCAGAGTCTATCACATGTTGAGTCTAGGCTGGTTTTTCTTTCGAGTTTGTGTTGAAGTTTTTTTCTGTCCCCTTAACTTATAGTAAATCATCTTATATTTTTCGAGCAGTATTTTTAAATTTATTATAAGCCATATACACTTCTAATTTATATGATGGTTAAATGTTGCTTTTCATATATTTAATTATTACTCTTCATTAAAAATTTGTGAGTGGCATGTTAAAGCATTTAGCACTTATTAATATTTTATAGACCTATATCTCTATCCATATATAAAATTTATCATTTATTACTATTATCCCATGCAACTGGTTTAAAACCTATACAAAATAAACCATATATATTATATATTTGTTTTGTAACAACCTTATTCTATATTGTGTACTCGTGTGTATCAATTGAACCCAACTCTTTCACACACTTTGCTCTATTGTTCTGTTTATACGCTCAACTGTAAACCACACAACCACCAAATTAAATGCGATGATCAAACAAATAAACTGCATAAAACAATAATAATAAAAAAATAAAAACAAAAATGAAATAGCATTTAATAAATATAAAATACATATCCTCTCCTGCACAAACACATCTATTTACCATGCCTACCCACATGTATATACATATATATATATATAAAGCTAAATCAAATAGCTATGACATGTATATATAAACCTAAAAAACTATATATATATATATATATATATATATATATATATATGTTTATATATTTATATATTTATTCTATTTTATGCGCTTGTTGTGCTGTGAATTTTGTTATATTTTTTTGTTTCACACTTTCTCCCTGTCTCTCTATTTTTGTCTACCTTGCTCTTTGTATCCCTTTCTGACTGCCTTTCATTCTCCCACACCATATTCCATCGCTGTGCTTGTTATTTTGAAATGTTTTCTAAACATTGATACAGCAACTTTTTATGACACTTTCACAATAAAATATTGGTTCCACTTTTATAACTGTATATATATATATATGATATGCATATATGCTCTCCCTTTCTCGAGGCATCGAATGTGCATTCGCCTACGCTGCAACACACACTTCTACGACACACGCCACACACACAAACACACCATTATCAGTATGTTAATATAAAATTAGTTGAACCTAAATCTGTTGCATTCAAGCGATTTCTGTCCTTTAAACTATAATCTTAATAACTTTTATTGACTACTGATATTTTGTAATATATTTAAAAAGCCTTACTTCATATCTATCTCTCTCGATCTCTCCATATTTCTCATTTTCACTGTTTCTCTATTGCTGGCTGTCAATAATCCTCACATGTACCTCTATCTCTGTCTTGTCTTTGTCTTTCTATCTCGCTCTGTCTTTCTCTTTTCATGTATATGTCTGTTTGTCTTACTCTTAGCTTACTCCCTCTTTCTTCACTCTATCTCTCTCTTTCACTCTCTCTCTCTCTCTTTCTGTCTCTCTGTGTCCCTGTCTTTCCTCCCCTCTCTATCTCTATCTTTTTCCGATCTTATCTGCGCTTTTGCTTACTACATTTTTCAATATATCCAATATATATTTCCCCCAATTTTTCCGAAATACTGTTGTTTATAATAATGAAAGCAAAAACCATATACAAAAACTTGGTGTCTCATATATCGAAATTGTTTTGTTCTCTTTCGATTCTTACAGGCGCCCGCCCCCCTCACATCACGTTCGTGTATCGTGTGCAGTGTTTAGCCCCCCATACAAAAGCCAACAGCGCATAAAATATATACACACAAAAGTAAAAATCCAAATAAATTATAAATAATAATCAGAAGCAAAATAAACAAAAGGAAACCCATGAGCAGCAGCATCAGCAGAAGCAGCAGCAGAACCCCGTTTGCAATTAATTCGATCAAAAGTAATTCAACATCTCGGCCAATTAAATTTGGATTATTTGAAGTGAAATCGTTTTCAGTGTCAGTTTGCTCTTAATTATCGCCGAACTGTGCGTTCTCTATAAATATACCAATTGTGGTCGAAATAGACGCCACATATAAATACAAATCCGCATATCTATATCTATCTATAGAATAAACTCAACTTGTTGCGTGGCGTGTGATTTTAGTTGTTGTTGTTTTTGAATATATATATTTTTTTCTTATTTATGCGAGTGCGTGTGAGAGTGTGTGTGTATGTTGTGTTAAGTTTATTGTTTCCTAATTTTGTGTGAGTGTATTTAGGTGCACTCTTTTGCATGTGGCGCAATTACTACCAATTGCTTTTCTACACTAACAGTAGTTTTCTGTTATCGCGATATATGAACAAAAACAAAAACAAAAACCAAATCAAAAAGAGAGACGTAGGAGCAACACACAATACCTAAAACATTCATCGACAAACGCTGCTAGACGAACGCGCCAGCCAACAAAGCCGGCTCACATGTGTGGGTTTCTCTAAAGTGGGTGAGTAATCAGCAAACCCAAAACTTGATTTCATATTATTCATAAACTTTTAGCAACCGATGATGATAAACCACATATACCCCATATAACCAACAATCAATTGAAGTCATCTCTAGCTTATGCACGCGCTTACACACACACACACATATGCAGAGAGACCAGAGCAAACACACTCACACGCGCAGTTCATATAATTGTGTGATAAATTCATTCATGCATTTGACTTTGACAATAAGTCAAATACAAATATACATACATATATATATACATACATACATGCCCCTAGCGTTGTCCCGGTGCAGTCATTTATGATTAATATGCCCTTTTCAGTTGGTATTATCAAGCTGTAGAACCGAATATTCAGGCAACATCTTTCATTCTTAATTGTTGATATTTGTATGATCCATTGAAAAGGGGAAATCAGCGCGTGATGTTTCAGTGAAAATGTATGCAACAATCATAAACAGGCAAACCTAAACTAAAGTATATATGGCTCATCCCATTTCCTTATTATCGATAATAATCGATTATTCAACTTTGATTTTGTGGTATAATAGGGGCTACATTATAAAATAAATTGCTGTACAGATTCGAAGAATATCGTCGAGCAGTCTCTCGACTACAAAGCACTCTTACTTGATAATCTTATTTTATTTATTTAAGCGCTAACTTATTAATAATTAAAGAGGCCTTCAGCTACTTGCTAATCTTATTCTAATTTCTTTCAAAGAAATGTAAAGCTCATTAATATCTTCATCAACTTTTAATACGTTATATTTCCAGTGAATTCTTATTCTATAATTAAATGTTTCACAATCTATTCAGAATCTTACATGAGCATTTTATTATGCTATATGAAATATGCATTATTTTTCTATAATTAAATATTTCACAGCCGAATGCATATTTGGCAGTGCTTCAATTAAAGTTTTTGTATTACAATTTTGTTTTTAATTTAACAAAACTTTAGTTGCAGCTATTTTCAAATTCCTTTTGAATGTAATGTTTGCCTCTAACTAAAATTCTATGCGATTGTCGCTTTCATTTATGCAGAAAGTACAAAGTTTTTACCATTCAGTATAAAGTTTTGCGGTAAATATGATTCATATTATTCGTCTGTATATAATAGTGGAATATAATAAAATATATGGAAATTAAAATGCATTTTTCCCCTTTAATTTTAGTATTGGAAATCAGACATATAAATAAAACTATAAATATAAATGAATCAAACTGTGAAAGCTGTCAATTTAACCATCAGTATAAATATTTAATTTAGTAGTATAAAACACAGTTCTAGTTAAAAGAATTAATTTCTGCTACACAGTTGTTTCATAGGCTGAAGAATTTAAGAGAACTTTGAAACAAAATCCCGCAAAAGCATTTAGTCTGTAACATTCGATCTACGATATACGATATAGATATCTTTAGATAATGATATGTCACATATGTTAAGACCTGTTTTGATTGCCTTTTGCCATATGTGCTCAGACGTTGCCTCTGCCGGGGTGTTTATTTTTACATGCCTTGTGGCCAGTCCACACTCCTTTAGTTTCCTTTTGTTTGCATATCCACAGACATTATTTAGTCGCTGTCGGCAACCGCCTTTGCATGCTAAATAGATGTTTGTAGCCAAGTTCGCCCGCGTGTGTGGTTCAGGGTGCTGTGGTTTAGTGGTTGTCATTGTCGTCGTTTCGCTGAATGCCAAGAAATGGCTAAACTCACTTAGCGTAACGCAAGCACGCACCATCGTAATCATTATAGAATGGACAGCGGAAGGCGAAATGTTTACTTTTGCTTGGCAATCTTAGCTGGCAACACCTGTTGTCAATTGCAGTTGCAGTTGATAGAGTTGAGAAATGCATTTGCAATTGAGTTTTGCCTGAGATCTTGACTCACTTGTAGAGTGGATATTGTGAGATATGAAATAAAGCAGGAGATTTCGTAAAGCGAAAAATCTATAGAGATAATGCCAGCATTACAGCGAGCTTTCGCTCTGTAAATAAAAATTACTCGAGCAACAATTTAAAAGGAAATAGCCGAGTGCACAACCAAATGGATTCCGTTTTTAATTTTTACTAATTTATATACTCCATATTTAGAGCGAATTTTGTCAGCTGTATTTACATTTCTATGAAATGACGAATTCATATGCTTCGGCATTATGTTTCGTTTCGTTTCTATTCCCAATGCAAGAGCAGCCGTTGTCTCGCTCGCTTGGATTTCATAATTAAACTAAACAATATGCATAATTATATATTTATTTAGAGTTGTCTATTTGCCAGCTTGTTGCTGTTGATTTCTTGCGAAAACTGACGCAAGCGCGCACTGGAAAAATAGAACTGAGCTGAGCTGAACAGCTACAATAACAGTGGAACAACAATTGCGAGACTTATTTAAATAAGCGCTTGTTTGGCTCCACAGTTCATCAAATGACAGGTCAGCTGTTTTTATTTTTTTTTTTAATTTTTGTTTTGGCCCATTGCCGCTTGGACTTGGGCGAAGGGGCCAAAGCACTGGTTGGTCCCACGCGACTCGCATTTCTGTCCGACGACATATGCACGACCCAAACAACACTAAATGTGCACATGTATTAGTGTGTGTATGTGTACATTTGTGTTGTGTATGTGAGCACTTGAAACTCCCAGTCTCTCTGGAGTGCCTACCCATCGTATAGTTGCCCGGAACATGAGTCCTATGTCACAATGTTCGTGTTGCGTGCTGCGTTTGCGGCTGGCTCAATGGCCAACTGTAGACTCGTTTAGAGACGGTGCCAGCGCAGCAGTTTTAAGTGCATTCGCACATTAAACATTTCAAATTGTAACCAAAATGTGACAGTCCCGAATTTATGTATAATATATGTGCAGCAGTATGTATGCAATACATATGTACTCATTTGTGGATGTTGTAGTACTACATTCTACAAATGTCGCATGAGCTGTTAGATCATTTGCTTTTCTATTTATTTCAATTGCCTTTAATCGCGTGGGCGCCGCTCATCAGCTGGCCTTCAAATGCTCTTACTGAAGATATTTTAGATCGGTCTTTGTTGATCTTATATATACAGTTCTGCTCAACTAAATAGGTTTTACATTTTCTGAGGCTTAACCAAATATATTGCTTGAAATTTAGTTTTTTATTATTAACATTTTATTTTATTTATTTATTCAGATGAGCACATGACAATAAATAGTTACAACTTTTTTTTTTACATTTTTTTTACATTTTTTTTTTTAATTTAAAAAAATTTTTTTTTTATGTTTTGCTTTTATTTTCATTTTATTTATTTATTTATTTTTAAAATATATATTTTTTGTTTATATATTTTTGATTTTGTCATTTACCTATTTTTTAATTTTTTAACTTATTTTTTTAAATTTTATTTTAATTTATTAATTTTTTTTTTTTTTATTATTATTTGTTTATATATTCAAACTCAATTAACACACGACTGCTTTAGTAAATAACATGTCCGAGTTATTTTATTATCATTTTTTCATAAAGATAATTTTTTTTTTTTTTTTTTTTTTTTATTTGTATCTGTTTTGTACTTATTGTTTATATTTGCTTTTAAGTGATTTATTACTTTTTTTTTATTATTTTATATATAAAATCCATTAACACCAGACTGCTTCAGCTAACCACATGTCGGAGTTAAGCTTATTTTATTGTGTGTATAATTTCATTGTCTAGGGTTTGATCACTGGGTTCATTGCCCTTGAATATTTAATTCCCAAATAGTTTTAGCTTTTAAAAGAGTTGCATGCCAAACATATTCTGTTGTTGTGATCGGACAAAGAGATTCCTAAAATTTGATTTAAAGCTAATACCCGATTTTATTGTTGAATAATCATTAAACTTAAGGAGTAAAGTGCTCCATTCGCCTGAGGATAGGGTATTTATACGTTTGTATTTCCATCTAACACAAATCGTTACCAAAAACGCGCACACGTCTAATTGCTGCTTTATAAATATGTGAAATGACCATTTGGTCATTTCGTAATTGTTTTTTTTTTTTTTTTGTCAGCTAGCACCTTTTAAATACATTGGCAAGACAATAGAATCAGAACTTCAATTTAACAAATTAGCAGCAGAGGCAGCCGCGAAGAGTAAAGAAAATTGGCCAGTGGCAGCACCTGTTGCCGGTCCAAGTTGGCCTGTAAAAATATCATTAAATTTCACTTAAGCAATGCAAGAGCCAAGCCAAACTCCAGACAGCAACAGAGCGAGAGCGAGTGAGAGAGAGAGAGAGAACGAGAACGAGTCACAGGGCGCTGGGTAAGAGGCTGGCTCTGCATTTTCTGGCTAAAGGGCAAGTGCCAAAAAACAAAAACACCAACAACAATAATACCAACAACCAAAAACAAAACAACAACAACAACAACAACATGGTTTAGTTTTCTTGTTGTTTTTACCGCGTGCCGCGTGCGGCAACGGCGCGTCGTCGGTATCTTGTTGCTGCACGCCCAGTGCCCATATCTCCCAGCTGCATCTTTTCGCCATCTGTCGCTGCCACACCTCGCTCTACGGCCCCCCTCTGTGGCTAGCTGTCTGTGTGTGTGCATGTTGTTGCACTTTGCGCTTGCGACCCACATTTGTCTTTGGCGGCCGTCGCCGCATGGATTTTCCGAGGATTTTCACCACTTGCGCTTGGCTTGGTGTTTTTGTTTCTTCTTCTTCTTCTTCGTTTTGTTGTATGTTGAGCATTTCCGAGTGCATTCTTCGGACGGATGCACGAGACTGGAATTTGTTTCTTTTGTGCAGTGCATTCAATCTTTATGCGGTCGACATAGTTGTTTGTTGTTGTTGTTTTTGGTGGTGCTAGTGGTGTTGCTGTTGTTGTTGCTCAGAGATTTTCGTGGACTTCCTCCACTCAGTGGCACTTTTAAATTAAGTTAAAGTTACTTTTTGCATAATGCAGTGCTTTTTGGTCAAGTACTGGCCCGGCATAACCTTTTCATGTGTTTTCTTTTGGCATGTGCCAAGTGCAGAGCATCCAAGAAATTTCACTGTTCACTCTAGCATTACAAATATGCATTCTGGTTTATTTGTTGCACTCTACTTGTGCCATAGACTGGCCAAACAAAAAGATGTAAGTCGACGGTGTTTTGTAATCGTAGATATACATATTTACGATTGTGTGTGTATTTTTGTTAATTTGTTAACATTCGAGTAAATCTGCAGTAAAGAGCTGGTTGTTTCGAATAGAGGGAAAAGTGAAACAGAGTAAACTATCACAAATTAGACTTCGAGAGATGTTGCTAAATATATATTATAAAAACCAGTTGATAGATTTGCTCTTCTACGCGATTTTCATAAATGCAAGTGCTACTATCAATATCAGTACATAGAAAAAGAGAGCGAGAGAGAGAGAAAGATTTTGAGAGTGAATAGAGTGAGAGAGAAGAAGCGAGCTATAGATATATAAATAGAAAGAGAGAGAGGTATAGATAGATAGTTATGGAGGAACAGAGAGATTAAATTGAAGGTTATATTGACTACATAGTAAGTATGTGTATGCATATTAAAAAAAAAAATCATATTAATTGTAAAAGAGTGGGAGAGAGATGACAATCGAAAGAATGCATATATTAGAGAGACACAGAGGAAGGGAGAGAGAGCTGAAAACTGAATTGATCATAAATTTACGGTACCAAAAAGAAAGAGAGAGATGAGAATCGAATCAAAAAGATAGTAGGGACGGAAAGAAAGCTGACAATCGAAACAAAAAATATAGTAGAAAGAGAGAGAGAGAGAGAGAGAGATTTAAAAAAATTATATATTCACTGTACTGAAAAGTGTATCAAATTTAACAAGTAGCTAAAAAAAATAATATTTATAAATCATATCTTAAATTAATTGAAGTGTCAAGATTTTTGTGATTAAATCTTAGTTGCTTTTGCACATGGCAAAAAAGATTGCAAGGCGTTTGTGCACGATTGGCACTTGAATTGGTGTGAATTCAATTTAACTAATGCTTTTTGCCGGCTTACTTGTTTTTAACAGGTTCTCTTTTGCCTCTGGGCATTCTGCCATTTATTTATTTTGATTCGCAATTGAATTTCAATCTAAAATATTTATATAAAAATATTTGTCGCACACTCGCCTTTGACAGCTCGAATGGCAAATGTACTTTCAACTTTTAGTTGGCGTATCATTTCTTTGCTCTGCTTAAGAGAATTCAATTTAAGTTTCTTTAGCTTGCTCTGTGCTGATGACTTATGGCCGCATGTCGCTTAGATGGAAAGCACTATGCTGTAGCAACATCAGGCAGCAGCAGCCGTAGCCGCAGCCGCAGCCGCAGCCACAGCAGCACGCGCATCTGACGGATTGCCAAACATGAAGCGCATCTACAGTCGACACATGTTTTGCAAATAATTGAGATTTCTGGCCCAGTGGTATTTCTTTTGCTGCGTTCCTCTTCGTTTTTTTTTTTTTTTTTTTTTTTTTTAGAATATTTCTAGTTTGGATTTCATTTGCAGTAGTGACACCACCGAGAGCGCTTCATTTGGGCATGGTGCCAGCAGCCGCCATAAAGTCACATCAAATGCTCTTCGTGGTTGGCCCTTCTCATATATTATAAATATATATGTATGTATATATTTATACCTCCATTATATGCGGCTAAGTATCTGCTTGTCTAGCAGCTCGTCTCAGCTTATGGGCTGCGTGTCATTTGCATTGTTTAACACAATCTATTTTGGGTGGGCCATTCGCAGTGATCTGCCGATAGTATCGGACTATGACAGCCAAGTGTCAACGGTCTGTTAGGGCCAGTGGTAATTGCTATGCAAAATCATCAAATATGCAAAACTTGTGCCAAACAGACGCAAAGATTTGGCTAAGCATGTACAAGATAAATACTTTCTAGCATCTAAGATAGCCGAGAGCTGTTAAGTACACAGTTCATTGTTTATTTTACTATTGTTGTTGTTGTTGTTGCTGCTTGAAGTGCTTAGCTCTTAAGCAGACAATGAACTAACACTGCTTTTGCCGGTCGGCCACATGTGAGCAGCTACAAAGCATATATATGATATGATGACATCAGTTGATCAGTTGATGTTAACTTTGGACATACTACTGTACATACATACATAAAAGTTGAAGTCAACGTTCAGTTGAGAGCGCTCTTTGTGTGCTGTGCCGTTGTCCACGGTGCCGTGCACTGTGGAACAATTATATGATTGGCTGGAACAAACACTTGGCTAAACAGACTTGTAGATATTTCAGTTTTAATATATCAAAGTATTTCAGTAATTCTATTTTGTAATACTCAATTTTTTAAGTAAATGCTAAAATAGGTTTCTCTACTGCATTTGAATTGGGTTTTATCTAGGGTCTGCTGCTACGCGGGCCACTGTTCGGCCAGTGTCATAAATTGTTATCAATTTCAACTAATAAACTGCACTTAATTTGTGTTCTTGTTTTTGTTGTTGTTGTTGTTACTGTCAAGGGTGCCTCGCTCATTAGGCGGCGTGAATGGACGTGGCTGCCGTTAAAATCAATAATAATTTACACAGATTTTTAACATGCCATATAACGATTTTAGATAACCAACGCAGAGGACAGTGAGAGAGTGCTTGTGTGTGTGTGTGTGTGTGTGTTGTGGCGTGTGAGTGGGCTTTTTAAAGCTTTTGTGTGCGCTTGGCTTTTTGTTTGTCGGCCCACAATAGGTAAATAACAACAAAGTTATAACTAATTAGATAAGCGGTTTATTAGCGACGATACCGTCATAGCAACAACAGCAACAGCAACAACGATAGTGTGTTGCATAGTGGACGATTATTTGCCACGCTACACGCAATTTACACCCACGCACACACACACACATACACACACACACACACACGCACACTATCAATATTTGAATTGTATATTTGTGTTAAAGTTAGTTCATATGCAGATACGATTTTCGCAGATTTTCAAATGGTTAATAGAGCTCATATAGAGAAAGAGTGAGAGAGAGAGGCAGTGCGAGAGAGCGAGAGGCTATAATACTTTTTGATTGCAAAGTAAAATGCATACATTGTTTGTTTTTTTAATTAACTTGTGATTCAGATGCTGAGAATGCCTTTAGGCGGATTTTCTATGTTGCAGAAATAATGGAAGTATATGTGTTTCATTTAAGCCTGCATAAGCTAAGCTTTATTTTACAAATTCGCTTTACTTGATTACATTTAAACTTGGTGCACTCTAAATTTTTCTACCCGTACAAGTTTATATTTGCTGATTGGAGTTTGGCAATTAAAACATATTTGATATTTTACAGTTTTTATTTATTTTTGGTTTAAATATTCCCGTTCTTGATTTGTTTTGCATCAAATCTAAATCAATTATTTATATGAGCGCATGTATTTTACTCAAATATTTATTTACTAACTACTCTTATTCGTTAAACTGTTGATTTCCGCTTGTTTTGCTGCTGCTTTTGCTTGCATAAAAATTTCCAATTGGAAACTTTTGTTTATTCTCACGTCCACACAAATAAAAAAAAAAAAAAAAAAAGAAATCCAAAACAAAATCAAATAGAAATAAATACGAGCAAATAAACAAGAGCAGCTCAACTCACATGGATGGCAGCAGCTATAACAACGGAAAGTTGCAGCATTAGAATAGAATTTATATACATATAAAAATATATAGCTATATAAGTCGGTTAATCCATGCATAAGTGAAGTTCAACAAAATATATTTTTCATTTTTCGTTTTCCTCTCTTTTTTGTTTCTCGTTTTAGGTAAGTTTTTGTGTTCGTTATTGGTGCAAAAAAGTTCCATAGCATGAACCAAGCTGTAAGTGTTAATTTTCAAATAAATTATTGATTTTGTATAGTGCTAAGTAGTTTTTAAGAGCAACCTCTTGAAGTCTATGTGTGAACCATTTGAACTTCAATTGAACAAAAGTCAAAAAAAAAAAAAAAAAAAAAAAAAAAAAGAGAAAACACTTTGAAAACATTTCAGAAAAAGAACGGATGAAATCTTGGAATGCTAAACATTTGAAGATTTCATGTATACTCTCAGTTTGTTGTCAAATTCTGTATCGAGTCGTTGATGCAGCAGCAACATGTTATTGTTGCTGTTGCTATTTCAGTTGTTGTTGCTGTTGCTGCTGCTACTACTCAAATATCCTGCATATTTTTCAATTCATTTGGCTTTTGCGAGTATTTGATGATCTCTCATAGACACTTTGAATACGTCGGTGTGCTTGAATTTATTTTATTTGGTTTGATTTGATTTTCTGCAGCAATTGAATTGCAAATATTTGTGTGCTACGATTTCGCAGCATGCTAAAGATACATCAAATGAATGCCAATTGTATTCTATTAGTTTGCAAATGAACAGTGAGCAAAGTTTCAATTTGTGTCCATTACGAATACGACGCGTGTTCATTAAACCGCCCACGCAACTAACACGGCCATAAAACAGACATTAAATGTATCTCTTAGATACACTTTGTGTTAGAGTGTGTGTGTGTATTTGTGTTTGTGTGATATTTCCGCCAAAAAGAGCAACAGCTAAAACCAATCTTTCGCTTTGACTGTCTGTGGCTTTTCGACTCAGCCATGGCCATTTTGGCCAACTTGAAGCTAAAAATAATATTTACGATTTTATTTCATCGTTTCATGTAAGTTTCTTCCTGTTCGTGTCTTCTAGTTGTTGTGTCTGGATAGCAAAGCTGCTAATTAGGCGGCTTTGTTGGGAACGACACGACAAGACGCTGTTTCTTGTTGGTCATAAGTCAATAGTTGGCGACGTTTTAATGGGCTCTCTCTCGCCTGGTCTATCTGGGCGCGCTAATGAAAAATTATGAATTTATGCTACACGTGCTCGGCCTTCGGCTTTGGCTTTGCCTTAGCTTCTGCATTTGCATATAATTCATATTTACGACACCACTTGGCCAGAATTTACAAATTAATGTGGCAGCTTTCCGTCAGCAGCGCCCACTTAATGCCAGCGGCATTTGTGCACTTGCCACTTTTACGATCCGGCTTCATGTCTAATGCAACTTTTATTAGTTGTTGTGTGTGTTTGTAAACTAAATGGCTAATGTTTTATTAATTGAATTGTTACATAGACGAAATGTGTGTGTGCCGGACCAAACCAAATGGAGAGGATGTGGCTAGAACTCATGAGCATGTACATGTTGATATTTAAAACACAAATTTTTGCTGAATAAATAATGTTGGGGTGAATCTAACACTGAATTTTCGACTAAATATTAATTCAGAATTGCAATCAGTGAAATGCTCTTTCACTAATCGATCCAGATTAAATTAAAGGAAACTTTATTTATTTTGTATATATATATTTTTATACCCTGAACCCATTTTCAATGGGAAATCAGGGTATAATGGTTTTGTTGAAATGTATGTAACAGGGAGAAGGAGGCGTGGCAGACCCCACAAAGTATATATATTCTTGATCAGGGTGACGAGCTGAGTTGATTTGGCCCTGTCCGTCTGTCTGTCCGTCTGTCCGTCTGTCCGTCTGTCCGTATGTATGAACGCGTCGATTTCAGAAGATATAAGAGCTAGAGACTTCAAATTTTTTTTTAAATGTCTGTAATTACAGCGCGCATATCAAGTTTATCATTAAAAATCGATAACTTATCTCGATCTTTTTTTATCGATAAAAACCCTTATCGAAACCCAGTTATAAAATTATATCTTCTACACCTTTAATGCTAGAGTCTCCAAATTTTTAATGAATGCTTATATGCAATTTATACAATTTCGGTTTTTGTTAAAATTTACCCCCCACCTCTAAATTCACCCCCTCACCCTCACTTTTGTAAAAAGCGTATTTCAAATACTAGAGACTTGTGCTTTGGCAATTACATGCATATTCATGTTATAATCATAATCTAAAAGTTTCATGAAGATCGTACGTCCATAAAAAAAGTTATTAAACAATTAAGTTTTCATAGTAAGCGCACACTGCAGCCCATGCGTGTTTATGCATGGTTGCTTGTGTGTGTATGTGTTTGTGTATGTGTGTGTGTGTGTATGCGTTTGTGTATGTATGCGTGTGTGTGTGTATGCGTTTGTGTATGTATGCGTGTGTGTGTGTATGTGTGTCTGTATGCGTGTGTGTGTATGTATGCCTGTGTTTGCGTACGTGCGTGTGTGTGTGTGTGTGTGCGTGTTTCTTGTGTAAGCTGAAAGTCGCGAAAAAGTATTGAAATATCTATTGCTCCAAGGGTTCAGGGGATCTCGTAGTCGAGCAGTCTCGACTAGAGCTTTCTTACTTGTTGTATATTTTGTTTATGAAAGTCAGGGTGTAAAAGTTTTGTGAAAACGTATGTGACAAGCAGAAGATGACATGGCTGGCTCAGCAGGGTCTGAGTTGATTTAGCTATATTTGTCCCTTCTTCCGATTAAGCGCTATGATCTTTTAATCCACAAAAGCTAAAGGTTTAAAATTTGCAGTACACACTTTTATACGTTAAGCAGCACGAGTTAATCATATATTTTTTCAATTAAATACAAATGTACAATAATAACGTGACTTGTATACACTAGTCTTAGAGCTTACTATTGAGAGATATCATACACATTAATATAATTATTCCTGGTTAGAGTTGAGTCCCACTATAAAAATAGTATTATGAAAGTCTATCCAGAATAGGGTTGAGTCGAGTAAGCATAGCGCCTTTCTTTGAAAAAGCAGTACTATGATTGGAATATCAGCTCTTTGAAGAATTTAGGGTATCTGCAGGGTTGAGCAGTCTACACTATATACTTCGTTCGTTTTTTAAATTGACAAAAACTAATAATGTTTATATACAATGTATTATTATTTGACACACTTTCAGTTAGCTCTTCAGCAATTAATTCTATTTCACTTCTTTCCTTATATAGTACTTAATACCATCTTGAAATCAATTAGCTACTTAGCTGACAAAGCAAATGCATTAAAAAAAACCAATTCGATTGATAAAACTACAAATGTTATGACACTGTTGAATCTTGCCCCATATGTTCTTATGTGTGTTAAACACGACTGATGCAATATCTCTTAGAGCTCTACCAATAAAAGATGCTTTTTATGTGTTCCTATTAAATACGTGTGAATTAATTTGTATTTTTAATAAAAATAACCGGAAACATAGCTAAGGAATTTTATGCATATAAACAATGCAGAGAAATATCGTTGTTTCGTTTGCTGTTTGATATCGAGCAGCGATTTGTGAATGGCCCACAATAATTTGCCACATTAAAGCGCCCAGATATAGCTTAATCCCGTCCAAGATTTATTCGACAACTATATGAATTGCATATATGTCTAATGGATATATATGTGTATGTATATATGTATATGTGTTTGTTTTCATATTTAATAAGAGGGCGCCGTGCGCTATTTGTGAACCGTTAAAAGCCGACAGAAAGAACAGCGCATCTCTCTCCCTTTCTCGCTTTCTATCTCTATGTCTGTCTTGTCTTTCATTATTTTCTTTTACTCAAAAAACACACACACAGACAAAGCAGCGGCGGCACTTCGTTTATTTTATTAATATAGTAGAGAAAAATAAATGTTATTTGTAGATTCGGTATATTTTATTTGTACACTTGACCACTTGGCGCTCATAAAAAATGGGATTTTAATATTTTATGCACAGACAATATAACATTCTCATAGCGGGGCATTTCTTCACATACATATGTACATATATTTGCGTGGGTCGTTGGAGCGTGGCCAAGTTATGCACTTTTTTCGGGCGCCCCGAAAATAAACCGCGACGTAAAAGTTTTCAACAATAAAAATAAACGGAACAAAACAAACGTGAAAAAAGAAATAACATTGGTGTGTCGCAAAATGTCTATTCCCTCGGAGATAAATTAATAATATATATAATATTTAATGAAAGTACAAATAAATCAAATCTCCGACCAACTAGTTGAAAGAAAAACTAAATTTAGTTAAAGCAATATAGTATTTGAAAGATTAATTGCCTTGAGTTAATATATATATTATACATAGTGTTATTTATTTTGTTTTGCTTCTAAAGAGAACATTGAGAAGCCTATAGTGCGTTACAAGCGTGTTGACCAAATTATAATACCCAATGCAAGAGCATATGAAGAACATACATACATATGCATATACGTATGTATATTTAGTAGGTATATCATAAAATATGGCCTGTGAAACTTAAGAGCGACGTCATGCTAAATTGCGAGCATCTATGCGTATAAGTTGTAGACAAACACATATACATACATATATCTGTATGTGTGTATGCATATATGCACATTGAGATACACATATTAGTGTGTTTATATAGATAAAGTGTAAAACGCTTAATTAATTTACGCTGATTATTGATGCGCTCGATGTGATCTATTAAATCGCGTAGAGCGATAGTTGTTAATGTTGCGGCTCACCTGTGGGCGTCGCGCGATTTAATATATATGTATATATATATCGCTATTTAAAATAGACGCAATGAAAAATTGTATATATAGATAGATGTGTGCTTGGCACGTTGTGGCTATCAATTAGACGGGGCTAGACTAAATCAATTGCGGCAATTGCGGCAATCAATTAGCGTATCGATTTGTGTAAAGCGAAGATAACATTCTCAGCAGCCAAATGTGATGCTCTTCAATTTTGGTGTGTTGCCTTTTAGCTAATGAATTTTGCGGGGGTATATGTACGAACGGTAAAGTTTGCCCAACCATAATGAGCTATTATGATGCCTGGTGTTGCATAAAATCAGCCTGCATCCACATGCCACAGAATATGGTATTAAGCAATGTCCATTTCGCATTTCCAAAGCTCACGTGCCACAGAGTCTCTATAAATATTTCTATATAGGTATTGCATGTATGCAGGTGTGTGTGTGTGTGTCGGTGTATGTGTATGTATGTGTGTGTAGCGAACCACATTAAAGACATACCTACATGCCAGGGCACATTTACCTGGCTTTTAACAGTTCTTAGTGTGCACTCTCATGCGTGTGTGTATGTGTGCATATGTGTGTGTGTGCGAGAGCAATTTGTATGCAACGCTGCTAGCTGGCTGCTGGCAGCACGCTGAACGATTGCGCCTCAAGTGCACTGAGGTTGCGACGTGAACATGGCTCCGGCTCCTGCTTCGGCTCCTGCTCCAGCTTTAGCTCCGGCTTGGGCTCCCGCCAGGGACAGCTGCTTAGCGTTGTGTTAACCTTGTTAAAGAGCTGCCCTTCGCCAGCACCGCCTTCTCCATCACCAGCTGGCAACGACCTAAACGACCTGGGCGACCTGTGCTTGCATTTCAGTTCAACCGGAACTAATGGCAACCCACTTCGATACCTCATAGTTGCTTTTTCTAGCGCTTTTATTGCATTTCGATGCCATAATTAACAAATATTGAACATAATGTTGCGAATTGCAGTCGTGAATTGATGAAAACGGATTCAAAAGCTAACAGATGCGATTATAGATAGGAGATATAGGTGATGGACTTCTCTTCCTGGGAGGGAGGCACATTTTCAACTATTCATTATATATACATAAAACGTATTCGCACATAGTTTAGTTAGCGCTAAACATTATGAAAATCTCCCAGGCACTTACTAACTCAAAGTATTTGAACTTGTTTCTGTTTCACCGCTCACTCCACTAGGCCAAAGTATCAACGAGAACTAAAACACTGTTGCATTTTTCATTTGATTACCCATGGCCGTGGTAAAATATGCTGTATGCGCAGGAAATTCGCTTAAGTGTACAACAAAATGTAAAAATTAAAAATTAATGGTCCGCTTCCGACACACATACCAAACCGCAGAGCACTAACTCTCGAAGCTTCTGACTCTGTTAAACCAAAGAGAAGAGAAAACTGTAAAATCCCCAAAAACCTAGTTGCAAAACAAAAAACATGTAATATATATATATATATATATATATATATATATATATGTATGTATGTATGTATAAAGAAAAACTAAGCACTTTGTAACTTGACTCAACTTTGGTGAGGCATTGGGAACACGTGAAAATATTTGGACTCAACTGCAGCTGAGCGAAATGTATTTAGCAGCAGTACGTGCGGCTACTCTACTAACCTCTGCTCCTTGGCAGGAATCGTAATTTGCAGTTATCATTTATTTAGGCATCCATTAACGCGCACATATTGATGACCAGCAGCTGGAGACCAAACACTGCCTGGGGAGTGAATAAAGAGTGAGAGAGAGAGAGAGGGAGAGAGAGGAAGACACTGAGAGATTGTGAGGTAGGGGCTGCGTGCAATTGCTACTTGCCACTCAGCTATGCTGCTAGCTAGCAATTACTTTTGAGTTAGTTGGCTTAATAGAAATTCAACGAGCATATTTTGTTTGTCTTGTAGTCAGTCATCCTGCGCCCAGGTGTTTCCCAGGGCGCACTTTGATTTTCATAGGTAAATGTTGGAGCAACTTTTCCTGGCCTGGCCTTGCCTCGCCTGGCCTAACGAACTTGTCCCGCGGCGAGCGCTCGTTTATGCGCGTTTTGTTTGCCCAACGCAAACCTCCATCCAGCCCCTGATAGGTAGCTATGTCGTGCTATGCCGTATTACTGCTGCCTGCTGCAAATCGATTATGAATTATTTGACTTGAAGAAATGACTTATGAGACTTCTTCCTGCAGGACAAAAGCGTAACGCACAATGGTCACTTGGCGTCTCCTTAGCATTTTATCATTGTTGTACACGAGTGGGTGGTTGTGGTTAGCTGGTTGAGTGCTTGCTTGCTTCATGCAAAAAAAAAAAAAAAAAAAAAAAAAAGAAAAAAAGTAGAGGATATTCTGTAAAGAGAGATAAATGAGTTTAAAGAGCTGTTTATACAAATAAAAATGCTATACCACGATTTGATATGCCTATTGTTGGGTATTTTAAGCTTAAAGTTTTATAAATATTTTTTTGAAATATTTAAAAAAATTTATACTATTTAATATTTAATTTGTATTAATATTATTTTTATTTAATTTTTTTATTTCATAAAATCAAATCTTTTACTGTATTTTATAGGGTATTCTCACAGTTTTTATTAAAAAACTTAAACGATTTTATGTATGCCTTCATTTTTGCTTTATTGCTTGCCCTTTAACACTAATAAATTAACAAAACATTGCTCTCTTGATATTGAAAATTGATTTAAATATTGTTGCTGTGATTTATGGTTTCGTTCTTTTAATATATTTTTAATTTGAATTCTATGCAATGCGCATAAATTATATATGATTGACACACTAACATACAAACACAGACGCACACACACGCACCCACACTCAGCTCTTTTAATTTTATGCTCGTATATTCATGTTATTAATTGATATATTTTCTCTTGATTTTTCTTTCAGGTAAGTTTGCACTACGACGAGAAGGAAAACGTAAGTCGAACCACCGCATAATACCAGCTACTACATAGTATCTATTTATTTATTTAGCCACTCAATGGCTGTAGGGTGGTGTTTATTTGACTGCTGCTTTTAAATAATTAATGTTCTGGTAATCGATTTTCATATTAATTAAGATTTATTTGATTCGCATAACACTCGTGGAGGAACGAGAGGGCAACTAATTGGGAATATAAGCAAAAAGGCTGCTAATTTATTTTCCCAGTTGCGCATTTTTATAGTGCAATTATCACGCCCGTTGAGTGGGTCAATGGCAATGTCCACCGAAGCTCTCTAACCATTGCTCATAGGCATAGGGTCAGATAAAAATCTTATAAATTAGTTAAAGAACCCAGAGCAGCCCAGTTAGCCCCAATCTCCGAAACAGCTATTTAGACAGTTGATTAATCGGCCAACGTATTAGGTTTTCGTAATTTGTGGTTTGGGCTGCCTTTTGTTTGTGCCACCACCTCTGTATGAATGCGTGTATGAATGTGTGTGTGTGTGTGTGTGTGTGTGTGTGTGTGTGTGTGTGTGTGTGTGTGTTTGTGTGTGCGTTTGTATGGAGCATATGTGTTGTAGACTGTTGCTGGGCAACCACTAAGCCAATTAAGTTATCGGTTTTTCGTCCTCTACTCAAAATGTCATCAATGGACCAACAATTGGAAATTGATAGCCAGCAAATTTGCCATCTCCTTTTCTATGAGTGAAGTGGCCTTTGAATTGGTTATGTATATCTCATTATTGCCTATAGATAGATATGTATATATATTAAGATATATATGTGTGTGTGTGTCCACCACTACTCAAGTGGCACTTGTGGCAATTACTGCCAAGTAGACGCGACTAATTTGTGCACCTTGGCTTTTTAACGTGTGCGGACTTCAAAGCATTTCATGCTGACTTAAATCAGACGTGTCAGACCCTACAATTGCAGACATTGCTCTGCTCTGCTCTGCTCAGTTCAGTCAGCTCTCTCTAGGCGGCCGCCCACTCTACTCTATGTTCTCTACTCTCTACTCTCTACTTATACATAAATCTTTCTGTGGCCTCTCTGAATGCATTTTCAAGTCAATCCACGCAAGGCTTTTCAAGTGTAGGTAATTTATTATTGCAGTGCATTTGGCGCGGTGCAATCGTAAAATTATTGATGCTATAATGCTTTAAGCATTTCTTGTTTATCTCGAGCAAGAACGCCTCAGGTCAACAAAGAGTTGTTGAGCTTACAGTCTTATAGGTTAAATAAACAAGTCCCGAAAATTTTAAAATTTTTTATTGCCGTTCTACTCAGATGTATATAAAATTATGTTTATATACATATGCGATTCTTTAGAAAATTCCAAATAAATTCTAAGTAGCAATATGAATAAATATTTTATAGTATAGTAAGTTATAAAAACGTCACATAAAAAATGATATACAACTATTGATACTATAAAGCATTAAGCATTTTTTGTTTATTAAGTTAAATTAATATATAAAAATATGCTCAAATGATTTACCATAATTTTTACTGTAACAAAATATTTCAAAAATTATATTTTCTTAACTTGCGACACTTTTAATTCATACTTCAGTAAAAAAAGGATTACAATTTTATTTATTTTTTTTATATAAAAAAAAATTAAAAATTGGAAAAAAAAAAAAATTTTATTTATATCATAGTTCATTATAAACATTTGACAATAGCACAAATGATCGGCAATTGCTATAAAACTTGTATTTAGAATTGCATTTGGCATTCGAATTGCTTGTCAAACCCTCGTCACCTGCTGCCCATTACGTATATATTTGTTGGCTACTTAAGATGCTATTGCCCAGTGTCATCTCTTGGCATTTCTATCACACCTCGGCTGGGCTGCGGCGCGCTATCCCGTCACAAGATTTTTTCTTTACTCAATTATGAAAAGAAATTATTAAGTGCTAGCTGCGCTAAATTAGTGCGCAATTGAGTGTGGCGGGAGGCGTAGTGAGGCCGTAATACGGTTTGGGATGGTGTTGGGAGGCGGAGAAGAGTTGTGGGGGAGGGGGGTAGCTGGCAGGAATGAAAACGGCTGCACCTGACTCAGTCGCCTGCCAGCAACTTGTGCATTGCATGCTATGTCTTTTGCGGCCAGTTTTGCCCGCCCACCCGCCTGCCTGGCTGTGGCCTGTTGGCTCATATTTTTGCCTCCCATTTGCTGGGTAGCTTGTGGCACACGTCACCGGCACGGGAACTGGCTATGAAACATGCCTGTGTGGTTCTGTGTGTGTGTGTGTGTGTGGTTGTCTGTGTCTGTATCTGCATGATATAAATGGCGCACATTTTGTGCATTTCATTTGCGTGATTTGCCAGCCAAAATGTGTAGCATTTTCCTCGCTCATATAGCGTTGGAGCCGTCCCAGTGAGAATGATGTTACTCCTGATGAGCATGATGATAATGTCGGCCCTGTAAGTGACGGCCTGTCTGGCCACTTTTGTGGCATAGGATAGAACACTGAAGGCGAGGCAACAGGTTGCTTTGCTTTACTTGCTGCTGCTGCTTGGGAGAGTTTTGTGGCATGTTTCTGTTTCACTTTATTTTGCTGTTCATTTTGGCTTTATTTTTGAGCAATGCGGTTTTCTTTTTTTAGCTGGATAGCTGCCAGATGCTTGTGCTGTAGCATCACCCACCAGCACAGCAACTAGCAGGGGGAGTAGGGCGTATTATCAGCCAAGCTGCTAATGAGGCATTTACATTGTTATGTAATTTTTGAAACCTTAGCGAATTATTTCTTAATTGGCTGTGACTTTACCATTTTGCTAATTGCAAGCTTTTGCTTTGATCGCACACACAACTTATCCGATCGTCATCTGCGCAACTCGATCGTCATAGACATATGTGTATTTAAGTTTTACGATTCTTCAGCAATTTGCACACGATAAACAGACTGTGGAAAAAAAAGAAACACGACGGTTGCCAGAAAGACTTTTGCGAAAGACTTGGGTAAATAAACAAAACAACCGACGCGACGGCCCAGGCAGGCAAAAAAAAAAAAAAAGACCCACTCACCAGAAGACAGACAGACAACCAGCAATACGGCTAGCCAGGCGATGAGACACCGCCATCTGCGGCACCCGGCGGAGGAGGCAAACGTAGTCTCATCCTCCATAGCGCAGAAATCGGATCAGATCAGACGGCGTCAAGCAATGGGGGACGACAAACGCAAACACTAACTAAATATTTATGCATGAGAATGGAAATTGCTGCAGCGAATGAAATCCAAATTTGATGATATTCCTTAAAGCTTGAGCGAATGATGTTAGTTTATTTTTTCTTTCTTTCTTCTTTGTGTGCTGTTTTATTATCTGTTATTTTTATGCAGCTAAGATCTTTTGCTTCGTTTGTGATTTAAATGTTTCGAGTGTATACGAAAAGACCGACGTGAGTAGTAGTGGGAGGAGAAATATGTTATCTGAATTTATTTTGATGGTCGCAATTTAGTTAGGGAAACATTTTTTTGCGAGAACTATTTTTGTTTTTTATATGAAGTGAAATATTTCAGATATAATGGGAAAAGTGAATAAAGCTATTTTCCATTAATATGCTAAAAAAAACCCTGGTATTTTAATTTAAAAAATAAATTTTCTTTTTTATTGTTTTAATTGATTAAAAAATAGTAAATTATTTGGGGAAAAAAACAAGAAAAACATTTGCTGAGATTTCAAAAAATAAATAAAATGGTCATTTGAAAATTTTAAATGATAATAAATAATATTTGTAGATTTTTTTTTTTGTTTGTTTAGTTTTTGTTTTTTAAATCAGGCACAATTGTAAATTAAATTGGTGATTTATATTACCTGCTAATTGCTAATTGATTAAATCTAATCACTACTTACTTTGATAGCGATTACCTTTTGCTTTTAAGCACTTCAACTGTAAGGCGATTACTAAGAAGCGTGAATGATTTGTCAAATGCTATAAGGCCCGGAGCAGGCTTGCGATTTGACGCTTCTCGTCATTTATTATGCGGCACAGCAGAGCAGATCATTAACACAGCGCGAGTGTGTGTGTGGGAGTGTGCTGTGTGAGTGTTTGCAGAGTTAGCAGAAAGAGAAAAAAAAACAGGGTATAAAAAATAGTATTGACAACGAGACCTAAACAATTTTGTGCTATGTGGCGGATGCCTCAAAACAAAAAAACGTGAAGTCAATTATTAATATCAACAAATAAAAACAATCAAAGAAAAACCTTGTTTTTAATAAAACAAAAAGGTAGCTTTAAGATACGCATGTCAATTCGATAAGCGCCTGCTGGCAATACAAGCATATATCTACATATGTATATATATATATGTATTTATAAGTATGTATATGAGTTGGAATATACCCGAGCATAAAGTGCTAAGTGCCTAAGTTTCGTTGGCGGCCATTGTCCAACTGGCACATATTGAAATGAATCATTTGTTATGAAGCCGCCCGCCCACGAGCGGATCACAATGTGACGCTTTCAATTATGCGAAAGTCCGACTGATCGCTGTTGCAGCTGTTGTTGTTGTTGTTGTTGTTGCTGCTGTTGTTGTTGTGGTTGCACATCCATATGAGCCAATTTCCGGCGGATTGCATTTCGAGCGGTTGCCAAGCGTGTGCGTTTTGTTGTGGAGTGTTGCATAGTCAGTAATTAGACAAATGCAGTTAAAGTTGGAGCACAACGTTTGCCCGGGGCGCACATTGTTCCTCATTTTATGAGTGTGAAATTTAATTAATTAAAACTAGACAAGTATAGACAGCTAGTCAGTGCAGTCAGAAATTTTGCTACCTGACAGCCTGGCTCACCGTATGTGCTCGTGTGTGTGCGTGTGTGTGTGTGTCTGAGCCAGCCAGCATGCGTTATCCAACACTGTGTGAAGCTCGCATTTCCCTGTCACTAGCATGTTGGCTCGCCTGTCAGTTGCTCTGCTGCCTTGTTGCAGCTTTTCATTTAGCGCTGCATTGTCCAGGTTAACTGCGCAGGTTAATAGTGCCGATTGCGTGT